GACTTTTTTGGTCATCAGATGAACGATTCACGTCCCAGGTGATTAATTTGGTGACAACTTAGAATTGGGATTGATGAGATTAATCGAATAAGAATATGACTTATTTTCTCACAATGTATTTGATGTTACTTGCAGTTTGGAAAAGGAGAGCTTGGAGTCAAATTCAAGCCATTTTCAAAGGTTAAACATTTAGTCTTCACGTTCATCTCTCGTAGGCTAATAAATATCAGTTCAAGGACCTATTTGTCTTGTAAGTTGTAATGACAACAACCAAAACCTTGTGCTTTAGTATCCTCCTTGTTACAAGGACATCAGTTTCTGGATAAGTGAGTCATTCACGGAGAATAACTTTTGCGAAGTTGTTAGAGGGGATTGCTGGGGATCTTGCTGAAGAGGTATATCTTTTTATTGGTTTGGAGAGGAATACAAACGTTAGAGGAATCAAATTCAATTTCAGCTTTACTTGGATCATCGCATTTGATTGTTTATATAGCCTATACTATTGATGTACAGGTGAAGTTAATTGACAATTTCACAAATAAGAAAGGGATGACGAGTCATTGTTACAGAATCGTGTTCCGTTCCATGGAGCGTTCTCTTACGGACGAAGAGGTCAATGCATTGCATTGCAGGTAATCATTTTTGCCTTTGATTTATTCATTGATCCAGATCATCACAATGGGAAAAGCACATAAAGGAAACGTTAAAATTGTAAACGAGTTAAACTTTCATAGATAAAATATTACTTTCGTAATAATCATAAGACAAATCCTTATAGGAAGATATTGTGTTGAGATATGCTATGTGTGAAAATGTTTTAAAATGGTGACTTTTCCAAATGCAGAGTAAAGTGCGTGATGAGGTGGAGAGGAAGCTAAATGTCGAATTGAGGTGAGAATTTTGAAAAGTAGAGTTGATTTGCATTTCAGGTTTGACATTGTTATTCCTACACAAAAATTTATTTACTTCTGGCCGAATTGCATGACCCTCAAATAAAAATATATGTACATTGGTTTTCGTTATTAATGGAAAGAAAAATAAGGTGTTTCTATGTATGCTTCAACTTCGCAAGTTTTTTGTGACTCTGTTTGCATCTGAATTATTAGCAAAGTATTTTTATAACAAAATATATATATATGCAATATGCCAAATAAATAATTTGTCAGTGATCCAACAATACAAGCTACAGTGTTTGTTCATAATTCTCTCACCATTGCCTCAAAAAAAAGAGCTTGTTAGCTAGCTGGGTTGCCTCAAAATCTGCCTCAAGGGATAATTCTGTTAAGTGTGTTCGCGTATGTGTAGCTTGAAAACGAAACAAAAAGCTTCCGAAACCTGCACAAAATCACAAACAAACAAAAAAACAGATATTCATGTTTCAGTTCTTACCATTCATCATGGTTAGAGGTAAGAAAAATATATCATATTTGGTGAAGGCGACATACCAAACCCACTGGCTTAAATGTTGTGCCATTGCTTTGAAGCTTTTCCAAGGCTGCTCGTTTATGATGATTACCTTAGTTGGATGTTTTTTGTCGGATAAAATTGACAGCCAAATGTCGACAGGTCCACAGTACTTGCGAAAGATATTAAGGCTTACCTGGTTTACAAAAGCATGTAACGTTTTAGCTGAATCGAGTTTACAAATGATAGGAGCTTGAGGATACTTTTCAGAGTCAAGAAAATAAAGTAATGACTTACTAGTTCCCAAGCTTTGATATTTCTTCCTGAATTAGTTTGCAAGAATTTTCTGCAAGTATAACACACGGATTAGGAAGGAATCTTTGGTTTCATGACTGAGGGACTGAAAGAAGTCTTAACGTACAATACTCCACGATGCACATCTCGGTGATTGCAATGACCAGAAACACCATGGTTATCAAATGTTATGATCTGAAAGCAGCTCACAGAGAATCAGATACAGAAAAATTTCTAAGTGGATACCCTGATGAGTGTCTTTATCTAGGTATTAGGAGGCAAGTCATACCGTGTGGATATCGTGTTTAGTGACTTCTTCTTCGATGACTTCTGTTAGCAAATCATGGCTCCATACTTTCCCAAAGCCATCCTGAGAGAGACAATACAATATACGTGTGCCCTCAAATGAGAGGGAATGATAAAAATGTGGGTACTGGGGAGATATATTTGCACTGAC